ATTAGGCAATCATATTTTTATGGAGTATTGTTTTTACACGAGGTCGAAAGGAAGCTTCTCCTAAGGCTGGCGTCTTGCTGTGAATGAAATATCTCGAGAGAAGGCTGGACGATAATTATTATTAAACGCCTACTTAAGCTCTTTCTTCGTTTGAAGGGAATTTCGGTGAACATTTTAGGATATAGGAAATGTACCCTTATTCCCCTCCCACACTACTGAGAACCTCGCACCAAATTCCAATTGACGTCACCTACAGTGTAACGCTTTCTCAGAATATATTGTCTTCTCCACATGTGTGAACTTATTTAAGTGAAAATTTTACAAACATTAAGTTTCCTCTGCACCGGCTACACACTATTGCATGAACTTAAACAGGTTACATCAATTATACTACTCATAAAAAATGAGTAGTTGTTTATGTTTACCTTTTGAGATGGGCAACAGCTGTTTGCTTTTCGCCTGCATTCGAGCAAACAATCTGTCTTCTGTATCAATGCTTTTCTAAGCCACTTTTAAAATATTAGGGAATTCAAAATGTGTATTGTTCCCTCAATATGACTAACTGAACTGGACATAACTCAATACTTACGTGAATCATCCTACTCTCAACACTTGTATTTACACGAAGCTAACGATAAATGCAATTTCTACCATAATACTTTCTGGAATTAACTGAAAATATGCGTTCTCTATAGATGCTAAGTAAATATATATATTGGACCTTACCACAATTGCAAAGCAAAACTCATGTATAATTCCCTAGGGGAAAAAGCATTCGTTATTAAGACGATTTAGTGTGAAATGTAAGTGGGCTATGTTAGTCGACCGCGATTACATCCTACTGCCCTTCATCTATGGCGTCAACCGGAAACTGCCAGGACCTGGTATGGTATGCCAAAGACGATGCTTGATCACAAAGATACCAGGAGCAAATCAAATCATAAAAACCTAAAGCAAGAAGCTCCGTAGTGTACAGATGCTACCTAAAAGCAAAATAAGGAAATATCAAGTGTAAATAAGTTTCAGCAATTTAGAGTAAGCAACTTAACTGGACTCGTGGTTCGGCCCTGGGTAGGCAATCACTTTTAAGCGGAATAGCTGGCCGGACGTTGAGGCGACGGCCACCAAGGAAATGACAGGCCTCGAGAACGCCACTCTGCAAAGTCCTTTTGTCCGAGAAGCGGACTAAACCGAAGCCACGAGACTCGCCCATAGACTTGTCAACTTTTATTTTGACCTTCTTTACTTCGCCAAATTTGGAGAAGTAAGTCAAAAAATCGTCTCTGGTTGTGTCCGCTTTCAACCCACTGACAAATATGGTTCCCTTTACAGTGGGGACCTTGGCATCACCCTGTTCGTTTGTCGGTGCGTCATCCGCCAACACGCTATGGCGTGCAGATCTGTGAA